TTGACCCTGACCTCTTGCTCTAATGTCCATCCCTGCCCCGTTCAATTACCCCAATCTCCTCCTGTAATGACCCTTACCTCTTCCTCTTTGACCCTCTGCCTGGTGCTGAGGATCTGCTCCTCCAGGGCTAGCCTCTCCGTCAGCTGCTGGTTCTTGGCCTTGCTCATCTCCTCCTCCAGGATCCGCCGGTGCTCCTCCAGCTTGCTGATGCGGTCCCGGTAGGCCCGCTCGCTCTCCTCCGCCGCCTCCCGCTGGTGCTGCATCTCGGTGGTGTGCCGGTGCTCCAGGTCTCGCTGCTGGTCTCGTAGACGCTGTTTCTCATTTTGGAGACGCTCTAAAGGGAAACAGTTGAAGATAGGGACCAAGTGTTCATTGCAAACAGGCTTTCAACTTCAATTTTGATGTTCCAATGGATCTTACAAGGTAAAAGGCACAAAGATAAAATCAGGCTCCTCTCTCATTTTAAGTCCAATTCAAACAGCCTTAGGAAAGTTCAAGTGATGACTATCTTAATTAGACCAGCGTCACCATTCAAAGTCAAACAATGGATGGTACAGAAGGAGCCATTCACATGACAATAGCTGTACGGGATTTCACTGACCATGAACAAAACAAGTGATGCAGCTGAAGACAAATGCAAAAAAAAGACGAGGGTCATTGGAGTGTGACTGTACTGCAAGTGCACATAAGAAATTAACAATGGTGGAAACTATCGGTAATACCTGAAACCCGTATCTGACTGGGTTGCGACAGCTCGCGACTAGTTGGAGACACAAATGTTGCGAGAAAATCGGCGAATCTAGCAATAATTTTCACTCGGACTCACTCTGATCGGGTACTTACAACACATTTGCGCATGTCAGACAAGCTCCTGGCAAAATTTCGGTCGGAATTCGCCTGGAGTTCACATACATGCTGTGCGACTGTAGCACGACATTCGCACCTGTCTCATGCCTGGAATGTCAGATTCTCATTTTGTCTTCAACCAGTCACAGTTTCGTTTCATAGGTCCCCCCTCAGAAACTAAATTAAGAAGGGTTCGAGACACCCATGACGATTGAGTGACTATTTGAGAGGAACTTTGTCCCACAAATTGTCTGAACATATTCAAAATTGCCGCAACATGAAAGCGAGATTCTGCAACTCAAGTGAGGAAACTGAGAGCCCCCGCGAACGTTTCAAGACATTTTGGAAACTTTTTCAGGAATGCCATTCACAATTTGTCACCAACAGTCACAACCCAGTGAAACACGGGTTGGACTTTCCCCTTGGAAACTTTTGTCTCAGTTGCATTTTAAAAATCTAATTTAATTTTGCATTAATTCTGGTGAAAGTCAGGTCAGATATCAACCACTGAATATATCATGCGCTTCATTGCTGCATACACATTTAGTGAACAAGGTGTCAAAACAACATACACCATTATGAACACAGCAAGGATACAAGATAAGACGATAGCAGCAACAAAGATAACAGAGGCTGCATCCGAATCTGTTGTCTAGAGCTAAGCCTAGGTCTTCCCTCCATTGGAAATGTGCAGAGACGCGTAGACAATAGACCTAGCCGTAACTCTGGAAGGCCGTTTCGGACACGGCCTAATACTCTCACCACAGTCTTGGCAGGATTTTCCTGAGTTTTACTATTAAAGGGTAGTGCGCCACCAAGAGTTTGGAACACGTTGGCCAATCACAACTCACGAAATCTGTTAACCCTTTCCAACGTGCATTCGGTCGACAGATTTCGCCAATTGCGATTGGTCAACATGTTCCAAACTCTTGGTGGCGCACTATTGTAAAACGGCTGTATTCGTATTGAGGTAACATTGCTCCCTTCGAACTTTTACTATTGTTTTGGTGAAACTGTAAAAGAAGTCCAGAGTGAGCTATAGGCGTCGGAGAAATTTTTTTTGGGGGGGAAGAGAACAAAGACCTTTTTTCCCGCTGGGAGGAGGGGAGCTCTGATTAGCAACGAACAACTGATGAACAATTCACAGTGAAAGGGGGTCAATTTCAAGGTTTTTTCCAGGTATATTTTTATCAATTCTTTCATGTTTTCCCTTTCTTTTCCACCTTTCTGGGAGGAATATAGACTTTTGTATTTTAAGTTTGATTTATTTGCAAGTTTTACTCTTTCCCATATTGATGTTCTATGTAACTTCACTGTAAGTGAAATGTTTTTACTGTGCTTTGCAAGTGTAATGGTTTTTATAATAATTATAATTTTTACTGACTGTATTTTAATTGAGGGCCTCTATGGACAGCGGTGCTGTGCACTGATGGAGCTTACCCTCATTAATAAAGGAAGGGGGTACAAGTACATGTACCCCCTTGTCACCCCTTGCAATGCTTGTTGTGTGAACACGGATTAATACACGTGAGTCATGTTTAATATAGTTGATAGAACCCCGAGACTCGGCACAAGATTGAATACCTACCTTCAGCCTGGGTGGCCTGAAGCTTGGTCTGGGCGTGGCTTGTAGCCAGCTCCTCCTTGAGTTCATAGATTTGGTCCTGTTGATGCTGGCCTCGTTTATCCAGCTCATCGGCTTTCGTCTCCAGGTGGAGGTTGCGATCTTTCAGGGAGGCGATCTCGTGCAGAAGTTTGCTCTCTGAGGATGCTTTGTCCTGGAAAGAAAAGGAAATGTGATTCTACATTTTTCAAATTGTTGACTGCAGGCTGGTTTTCACGTCGATGTAAAGCGAGGCAGACAGATTAATGATGCAAGATCATACCGAAGTGGTTTACTGTGACTGATACTCAGAAATGTTTGACTCTTTGCTATGTCCCGTCGATACAGTAGGTCCATACAAACAAACAAACAACCCAACACCCCAACAAACAAACACACTTCCCCCTGTGACTGAGAAACGAAACCCCGTTTTTACAAATGAACAAATCGAGCTGCAGTAATATGGTAACATTACTACATGTATGGTTTCTTGTCCCTCAAGAAATGGTGTAACCACCCAAGCAAAACATTTCAGGCAAAATCCAAGTTGAGAGATTTAACAAATTCAGCAATTTATGAGATTACACGTTGTGGGATCCATTCCTCATATTGCATATATGATATCAGGTTTAACACGTTAACTGCCGCACACAGTTACGAAGGGGTGTTTCCATTTGCCAAGTGCTGTTCAGATCACGCATATTTAACAGGTACTACCATTCAGGTGTCTATTTGAACGTGAGAGCATTTTACGGATGTAAAATGCCAGCCACCACTGCCAGCAGCGTATTTGCTGTGTTCTTGGGTGATGCCAGTGTATTCAATTTACATTACAAAAACCTTTCATTTCCTACGAGTATACTTGTAGTGGCAGAATCCGGTACACCTGTGACTAAAAGTATGCTCGTAGTCAGTAGTCAATGTGCGCTGAGAAATCAATGCCATTCTAGCTTGGAGCCTTCAGGAAGGTTAAAAGGAGAAAATCCCATGGCAAAACTTTGCACAGGTAAGAAAGACAAAATGACCCATGCAGGATGATAGTGCATGGGTCTGCAGTCTGGGGCCCCTTTTTACGGAGTTTCTAATAATTATGGCTTAACCAATGTAGTTGCTGAAGAAAGTCAGCAGGGAATCAAGCATTTTGGCTGGTGCCTTGCCTCTGCTAAGCACCGGCATGCAACTAGACTTTGACAACAAACAAGGAAATTCTAATCTTCACATGACATTGTACATTGTTTTTCAATTTTCAATGGCATGAGTCTGAAGTGAAAATGAAGAAATCAGCCGATGCAAGGAAAAGTTGTGTGCTTGTAAGCAATTAAATCTCTTTGCTCAGCAAAATTTCTGTGCCTTCAGCAACTCCAAACAATGGCCTCCACATGCGTCAACCTGTGGGCACAGATTCAGTGAACTTTTAGGCCAGGGTGCCAGACTATTGTTTACCCCAAGTTGTATCTGCATCTCTTTCTGGTGCCCAGCAACCAGCACTGAGTTCTCCCTCCTTGAAACCTCAAGCAAGTCACTCAAGTCACGTGACCTCTGCTCAGCCAGTACCAACTCTGCTTCTGTCTTGGACAATCTGTGGTGTCAAGAAGAAATCTTAGCATGTCACATTTTTGTTCGGCATTCCCAAAGCTGCACGGTTGAACCAATTTAATAGTCTTTCTATTGTATGGAACAGACTCATTATGCACAACTCATCGATCATCGACAGGATCACAAGTTTAGAAGTTCTTATTAAATGATTCGGGCAACTTCTAAGTTGAGCATGAATTTAAATTTGCATTACTTGTTTACAAAAATTAATAAAGATGAATGAGCCTAAAATTTGCCAATGAGTGTCATGCAGTGTTGAAATTGCAAACACATAAATAACCTGTTTCCAAGGTATTTTTTGTAACAAACTTTCCGGAATCCTTTATTCTACACCGTGCGGAAAAAAAAATCATCTTCCATGTAGTTTAACTTCTAAAGGGTCTCAAGCCCCATGTGACGTAACAGTGGCTGTGCTCTGCCTTAACCCTGAGAGAGCCCGGGAGGGGGAGAGATGCCCCCTCAACATTTTTTCCTGATGTCATCACAGTGCATTTTTTTCTCGAGTTGAACCATCAGAAGATTTTCAATAATTTTTTTGCAGTCATTTAGACACCGTGTTGTAAAATCAAACACACCGCCTATTTCCTGAGACAGGTCAGCCAAAAATGTATACTTTCCACTGTTATGTTTCTATGCATGCAGGCTGGCACTTGAGTGGCTTTCAACTTCGTTCGACCAAAGCAACAAAACCATACAACTGATTGAGTTGAAACTCCACATTTGAGCTGATAAGGAGTGTCTTTATGCGCAGGCCAAGTTTTCATGAAATCAGGCATGAGGCAGCCATGTTGTTAGCTTGGGGGTTGAATCCCCTCCTAGATGTGAGATTGTCCAGAATAACCCGGCTCTTCAGGGTTGAAAACTTCCCAAGGGATTTTGAAGGATATGGGAAGGTTTAGAGTTTAGAAACACAATGATCCAGTGTAGGACTGAGTCATTTGAGCGAAACTGAGCACAGGATGTAGGGATTCCGTGTAAAATAGAAGACATAAAACCGTTCAGTCTAGAGCTGTGTGAAGATACCGACTTTGCATTGAGGGCATTGAAGGCTGACTTTCTCTCCGCCAGTGCCTCTTGTAGTTGGTGGATCTTGTAGGCCGTGTCTCGGTGGGTCCTGCTTTGGAACTCGTTCTGCTGGTCGATCCTATGCAGTAGATCAGATGCCTGTTAAAACCAACCAAAACCTTTCTCACTGAATGAATTTGATACACAGTTCCTCAGCACAAGTTGGCTTGAAAAAAGTCCCACCTAACTTCCCAGTGTGTATCCTACTATCCAACAGTTGACCATGGATTCTTACTATTTGAGACACACAAAGAAAATGCCATTTTACTGGAAAGTATTTTACTGGAAAGTCTCGCAAATTCATTGTTGCTGGAAAAATCAAACTTAAGCCATGCATGTTGAAAGCAAAGTCTAAACTGTCGACTTGTCAAGTTCTCATTACCTAACGAGAACTTAATACCGTTCAGGGAAATCTGCAAAGGGATGGAGTTTTCTGATGATGCAAAATAGATGTGGGATTTGAACTGAGAACCACTACTTTTGTATTGGCCATTTCATACTTGGTGTGAGAACAACGCAAACGTGAAATGTCAAAATATCAAGATGATCAAAATATTCAAGCTGCGAATTCGCAACTGTCAAACACATTTCAAATCAAGGGATTTTCGATACAACTATTTCGTGACCTCTAGCTTCCTTTTGCATTTGTCTGAAGTAGAACCCAATGGTATATCCTTTGTACTTTCCAACAGCATCAAGACCTGTATAACGTAATAGGGGCTGGGCTCTACTATGTCTAATCCTAAAAATTCTTTACACCACCTCTGGTTGGATGTGGAAAGATATGGATGAGTTATGGATCTGTTTGGCAGTTTGTTTCTGTGGGTGTCTCTAGGGATGCATTTGGCCGACCTGCTGTTTCTTCTCCGTTCGAAGTTGTTTGATTTCCCGGGCCAGGATGCTCTGTCTGGTCTCGTGCTCATTGGTCAAGCTGGCTCTGTCCACATTGTGTTGCCTAGCAACATCTGACAAGAAAACCAAACAAATTGCCAGCAAATAAGACTAATCTAAATGTATTTTGCTAATTAAAGGGGTCAAGTTGAGTAGATTAATTTTCTTTTTTTTTTTTTGGAGCAACGAAAGGAGATTCTTCGGGACGTGCTGCACAATATGCTGAATTTTTCAGTACCCCATCCAGTAAAAAGTCACAGCAATACAGTACAGGTCAGAATTTTAGCCGACACGTTAACATGATCAGTGAACCTGACACGCTGTTCAGTACACGCTTTGTGGTTTTTACCGTGCATTGCTGGTCCAATGCATGATAAGCCTGACCCCAGACCTCATTATATCAGCAGGACTTGTGACTGCAGACCACAAAGGTGACCAACAACGTGTAGTGAACCACTGCAAACGCAGTCGCTCCAGCTTCACGTAAGGGTGTATGTGTACATGTGTACATGTACAATGTAAACTGTATGGCAGTGCACTGAATATGTGAAATCACGTACATGTACACGCAGTGCTTGGCTGGCAAGATGATCGTTTTGGAGTATCGAAATATGTATCACTATCACAGCTATTTTCTTTTGGTTTTGGATCGCAAAAGTTGTTCTATCGGATTACATCTGGAAAATATCAAATTTCAGTGAAACTGGCCGGTAGTCCACCACCTGTGTTTAGCTACTACAAAACTTTTTCCTAAACGTAAGCTTTGAATTTTAAACTCACGGGCTTTACTGGAGTGATGATGACGCTTTCCTTGCTGGTTCTAATGCTAGATCGGCCATTCCCGATCAGCCAGAATTATTACAACAAGCTGATTTTATATCGAAGCATTTCTCATGTTATGGAAATTTAGTTCATGTATCAGAATTCCAGTAAATTTTTAAAAAGCACCCACTAAACTTGTATAAATTTAACTCGACTTTTTCAATTGCTGCCATGCCACATTGTGCAGCAACTGTTGACCAAGCTGCGACCAAAAAATCATGAAACTACAACCACCCCAGAGCTTCCATCCCAAGCACCAATCATAAAGCGAAACAAGTGTATTACATATTTATTTTGATACAGCAACAACAAATGCAAAGTACAGCCCATAAATGTCACACTACATGCATATTTATGAAGTTCACATGGGGGCTACTTTGTCCATTGTGTGTAGCCGGTGCATGCGTGTCGCTGGCGCTAGCGCAGACCCGGCTTCCTGTCATTTCAGTACTATCTTTGCCTTTCAGTTTGGTCCTAATATTGTCACAATCAGAGTGATTTTTTTAGGTAGGTTTTCCAGCTCAAAGGTCGAAACCTGATGGGAAAAATCCCCACCTGACATCGAATTTATATTCACACGATTTTGAACACACTGAGCTCGAGTGTGTATGCTAAAATCGCCGCCGTGGGGGCCGTCTTGACTAAAATTTGGCTAGTAGACTGGCGAGGTCAAACCCCGTTTATATTTTGTGGATTTCTTAAAAATTGTTCTTTCTAATTTCCAAAATGTTTCGTCATATAAAGTGCTAGTTATAATCGTCTCAGTCGAAAAATTGATTTGACGCTCGAATATTTTCTGTGTTTGATTCAGAGGTTTTTTGGAGCAACTCAAAAGTGTTGCCTGTATGGCATTTTCATCGATCCCGTGTGGACAAACATCACGCTTTATCTTTGAAAATGATTTTGTGATGCCTGCTACATACAAGGTAAACTACTGACCACATTTCCCTGGAATTTGAAGATAACTTGAGCTGCAGTCAAACTGAATACTTTTCGTTGTAAGGAACTAAGGAAAATGACTGCTCCGGTCAACAATGGCCTGGCTGTTCTGGGGTTTGCGTGTAGCATGTGCCTGTTTATACTCGGCAAATCGGATTGCAGTGTCGGCGTTCTCTGTTATGCAGGGGTCAGCTTGTTCCGTGTTTGTGGTTAACTTCTTTTGTGTCTGTTTGACTCGATACACGCTGACAAGCTAAGCGTGTTTGCGTGTCGGCTAAAATTCTGAGCTGTACTATACATGTCGGCTAAAATTCTGAGCTGTACTATACATGTGTACTCCAGTCATGACAAATATCGCATAATGCGTTCATTTTGTGACTTGTTATTCATACCTATTGCTTTCAAGATGTCCTGAGTGATGTTGTTTCCGGCTAGTTCCAATTCCGTCACTGTTTTGTTGTACTGCAGCATGGCAAGAATAGAACGGCCCCCGACTATCCCAATATTGTTCCACCGTAAATCTGGCATGTTGGTGTCAGAAAAGAAAGATTGTCATACCATATATCGACATGAAGAAATTCTGAGTAAGGAGCCACAAGTATTTAGGGAAAGGTCGTGGTCGATTAAGGAGGAAATTGGGTTCGTGAGAAAGTCGTAAAAATGAAATCTCAGGGACTGGAAGTGGTCGGGGCTGACGACACTACATCCTCGACTGACCACGCTACATCCTGGACTGACCACACTACATCCTGGACTGACCACACTGACCTTTTGGAAGTGCACAGATATTTCTTTATAAATTAGATGGGAACGGTATGGGTTATAGAGAGGAGAGCGAGGGAAGTAGGTCTTTGAGATTTTAATTTGCTATGAATCACATCTGCTAGAACTACTGTAGAAATAAATAAGTATGCAGGTAGAATAGCAGAGAAGTGTGATCGTGTGAGTTAGTCAGTGGTACATCTGTTTCGTCGTAACGAAGATGAAACTACATTACATACATGAATATAAACACTAGAATATCATTTGTCTTGAAAAGTCTGCTGCCCTTACAAAAAGAACAGTGCATCTCATTCTTGGCTACCAACAAAGAATAAAATGGAAAATCTGCTTTTCAGGTAGCCGCAGGGAGAAATGAAAAAAAAATCAAAGCAAAAAGAGAACAGTAACAAGGGGGAGCAGATTTCACACACACACACAAGAAAAAAGATGCTCTGATGACAACACCCCCCCCCAAAAAAAGGAAAAATGCAACTTTCCAAAATGTTAACAGTCCTTTTGGTAATTGTCACGACATAAAAACAGATGTCTTCTGCTCGTCCTTAAAGTGCCCCCATCTACAAACATGTAATAACATGTATTACCTAATGACCTGAGTACACAGTTCCGATGCAGTGCCTTGGAGAGCTCTGATACACCATCATGACTGAGCTGATTGTTGCGTAGATCCAGCATCTCAAGACTGTTGTTGGCCGCTAGCCCTTCGGCTAGGAAGGCAAAGCGATCGCTGTCCAGGCCAAGGGAGTTCCATTCCAAGCACAGTCTGAGACAAAATGGAGGAAACATTATTCAAATGAATGCAAAGGTTATGTTTTATGTTCAACAAAAGTGAGAGAATAATACTTTTAAAAATAATCCAACCACAGAAAAATCTCATCTGCTCCCTTAACATGAGTGAGCTCTTAACATGAGCTCAGGCTGAATCAAATCTTTAAAGACACGATACTTTTCAGAATATATTCATACACTGTGTACATGAATATTTATCTTTTATTTGATTGACTTCTGCAATATTCAGGCGTAAAGTAAGTTGGATTGACACCGTCAAAAGGAGGCGGACTTTCCCGTGTTAGCGTGTAAAACCTGTCAGAGCAAATGCTGTTTGACCTTTTAACTCTACTGGACGCAGCAGGATGCAACAGGTGAAAAAACGTCTGATGAACTTTGATGCACTGGGCAATTAATAGCATCCCAACAAACTGGCCATGCTGAGACAGTCGGAGCTAGTCCCACTGTTGGATCTCGTGGTGATTTGCAACCACAGACTCCCAGGCTGTTTGGCCTTGGGAGAGTCGACTTGTTGGATCTTGTTACACTGGGCAGGCAAGCCATTTTGACGATACAGTCTGATGTGTCTGGCAGGGTTTCTAGCCAAGTACCCTTGGAAGGTAAGGGTTAAGGAACAGAGTTTTCTAAAACTGCTATATCTTAACCCAAGGACGTGATTTTTTTTTTAATTTGGACTAGCAATGCCCTTAATCAGCCAGCATAGGTCCTGAAGCCACCGGCAGCCATCTTACTGTTCTGAATACAAAGGTAATACACAGGCTTGCCCGCCAATGTGGCACCCAGGCCAATAATCGCCTTTGCATTTTGCATGGTAAGATGGCTGCCGATCGCTTTAGTCGGAACAAGAGCAATGCGAGTCCAGATTTTTTGACATGACATCCACGTATTTAACCCACAGCGAAACCATCTGTTGGTAGGTTTTCAATGAATTCCTCTGTGTCCCTCTTGATTTCTTACTGCCAAACATGTCGACAAAACATCAAGGGAAGTAAGATCTAGACGATTTAATATGTGTATAAGTTTTAACTGGCAAAAAAGGAAAATTTCTGCTGAGCTTACTTTGACCTCTCTGAGCCCTCATGAATACCCATGTAATGAGTCTTCTGAATGCGTTTGATGATAGAATTTACTGATTTTTTTGAAATCTCCACAACTTTACCTTCTTAGGGAATGGTTTTGCTGGAGTAGGTTCCCGAGTGCCTCTGCCGATGCCCCTCTCAAGTTATTCCCCTTCAGATCAAGGTTCCTGATGGCTATATTGGAACACAGTCCATGCCCAAGAAGCTTGAAGCCTGACAATAAAAGGCATGGTTACTTCCGATTACAAGTGCAGAAGAAATTATAGGCACCCGGATTTTACAGGGCTGTCGCCTGGGGCATTCATCATAAGATCCTGTGAGCCACTGACCACTTGATTTTGGGGTTTAAGAAACCGGGCACCTTGGGTTTGTATGCATAGCCGGGGTAATCAAAATCAGACAAAAGAGCTGCTGGGATTTTGCCAGCATTTTTCAGTTGGCATTAGCGGGGGGGTAATCCTTCATTGTTTTGAAACCACTATACCACTGTTTGCGGCATTCAGTGCCAGCGGATTTTCAGTGGGGACAAAAGCGTTCCAGCGCTCCATCAATGAGCGATGCAGTACTCTGCACACTAATCTGGCTGCATTTGAAAAGACGCCACTGGCATTCAGCAACACACGGGCCCAATTTCGGGAACAAAGAAAATGACGCAACACCGCACAATCTGGACTCTTTTTACAAGGTGGAAGGCCTGAGTGAAATACTCGGGCATCGATAGATGTTGTCTGTTACATGTAGATTAGAGCAGCCACCAGACAGTCATTCGTGTGGGTGTAAACGTCTTGCAAATGAAGTTATGAATTTCTAAAGAATTTTGAAAATGGAAAATCATGAAAATCGCCCGGGAACTCGTCCCCCGCAAATTCAAATTAAACCCGGCAGGAAGTGGTTAAAATTGGAAGTCCAAAATTCCTTCCACTGTCCCTTTATAGCACACACATATCATTTGCCATTTGACCGATTCGACTGATAGGACAACTCGGTGCAGATTGCGTCTTTGCATAGGAAGGTTAATACTTGACATTTTGTTTGAGTCTAGTTTGTGGACTACTCTTTCACCAGATGTCTATGAGCTTTGAGCTGGACCAAGCAAGGGCGTAATTTTATCAGCAACAGAGGCTTCGTTGGTCAGAACTGAACTCTACTGGTTCACGAATGACTATAAAATGCAAGCATAGCGTCACACTGCCACCAACAAAATGAACATTCCTGACCAATATGGCCTTTTTTCAGAACCTCTGCTTGAGGTTCGTTGTCAAAACTAGACTAGATTTGACACCATAGCTATTTCATCCTGGGACTTTACCGATGGCCTCCAACATTATCTACGGTGCAGAAAGCCAAAGGCAGAGTTTTTCACTCACTGTGCAGCAAGCCAGAGGCAGAGTTTTTCACTCACTGTGCAGCAAGCCCCATGAAGAGTTTTTGACTCACTGTGCAGCAAGCCCCACGCAGAGTTTTTGACTCACTGTGCAGCAAGCCAGAGGCAGAGTTTTTGACTCACTGTGCAGCAAGCCCCACGCAGAGTTTTTGACTCACTGTGTAGCAAGCCCCACGCAGAGTTTTTGACTCACTGTGTAGCAAGCCCCATGAAGAGTTTTTGACTCACTGTGCAGCAAGCCCCACGAAGAGTTTTGGACTCAAGTGCTCGAACACCACTCATGGATCAACTAAGCCAGATTGGCGTCAGTCGCCAGCCTCACTTTTGAGTGAGAGGCCTTTTACAGAATTCTGCACAATGAATCAACTCGAACCCTAAACTTAGTCATCCATACATTACTTTACGTTTGTCAGGCTGCCAGACCGGTTGATGCACCAAACAAAGCCTTTAATCTACTCCCTCTAATGCAAACTAAAACAAAATTGCTAAACAAAAAAAGGGCTGCGAGAGCTGGAACTCATTCTGTGGTACTAGTTACATGTAGCTGCTGGGCTCCATCATCCTCAGTCCTAAAGAGAAGATCTGCGGACCATGTGACATCAATCTCCTCTATGAGATTGGAGGTTTTGAGAAGAACCAGAACCTCCAATCTCATAGAAGTCTGAGAAGAACCAGTAGATGTAAACTCGACATTTTGGCCGGGATGCTCTGGTTGTCCTCAGGAGAAACATCGAGTTTACACCCACCGGTTCTTCTCAGAACCACCACTCTCATAGAAGAGATTGATTTCACATGGCATAACCACAAATCTTCTCTTATGTTAGCCTTCCAACATGCAAAGTTTCAAGGTTCCGTTCTTATCCTTGTAAATCCTGGTGAGCCTACAAGTGGAATTTCAAGAAAATACATGTGTGTACGGTTGGGCAAAAGTATTTTTTACGATCCATTACCTTCATCGCCAATCATACAGTCAGACAACCGCAGTTCCCCAACTAAGCAATCCTTAGCCAGAGCAGCACCTAGCACGGAGCATGTCTGCACCGTCAGTGATGTGGTCGACAAATCCAGCACAGCACCATGGCTCCCCTGGGCCACCTTAGCCGACGGCGTCCCACGGGGACTCTTGCCAACTGCAGTCTGGCCCTGCTTAGTGTGACTCAAGCGACTCAGCACGCTCTGCTGCGGCTCCAAACTATTTTCCTTGCAGAGACGGAGGTAGCTGGTCCTGAAGTCCTCCATGGATGAGTCTTGGTCCACGGAGTGCTACATGTACCAACACAGCTTCTGCAAATGACACATAACGATATCCATGATAACATAAATGTATTTCTCCCAATCTGTAGGTCATTTGTAACATACTCGACATCACAATCCTCTGGTATGGCATCCCTCATCTCATTTTTGTCTATGTATGTGGTGGCACAAACTATCTTTAATTCATTCAATATTTAAATGTACCAGTAGGTGTACTGTTAACCCTAACAGTTCCGGGCGTTGTTTGGTTTAGAGTACTCAGTACTACAAAATACTAAGTAACACTCTGAGCCTGAAGGACCTAGCGCTAGAAATTACTATTTCTGGCTAGGTTTATTCCATTGTTATTCATACAGAGAACAATGAAACTATGCATGCATAGTGCCACAGCACTGTATGGTATATTGTCTTCTCTATTGTATTTTATGGCTTCAGAGAATAATAATGTCATGTCCTCTTACAAGCGACAGGGCTGAGTACTACATTTTACTACTAAGTAGTACTTTGTAGCATTCAGGACTGTTAGGGTTAAACCTTTGAGACATACCAGGCCTTGCGCTAACTTTTATCCTGGCTAGCCCACTTGGCCAGTTAACTGGATATTTTACTAGCCCGTTTAGAGTTTTACTAGCCTGTTAATAAAACATTTTAAAAACCCAAAATTTATTATCATCTCACCAATAAAAGAATTTGACATTTCGAAAAATAAAAGCTGATGGTATAAATAAAGAGGCATGTATGTTAGTTAAACATCGCTTGAGTCACTGGTAACGGAGTTGGGAACAAAATCACTTCTTTGCTCCATCTTTCCCCTCATTTGGGTTGCTTACGTTAGGCAAAAATTACATCTTTTTTGCTTACTTTCTGATATTTATATTGATATATTGATTTATATTGAATACACGTATTTATTTTGATCTCAGTTTTAACAGGTAGGCTTATTCTGAATTTTTCACTAGCCCACCGGGCAACCAAGGAACCAAGTTTAGGTAGCCCGGAGCATTTTTAGCTAGAATTTGTACGCTAGGCTAGTACTTTTTAGAGGCCTGCATACATGTGCCTAGTGTAGACTTGCAAACAAAAGTTGGCCACACGATGAAGGGAAGACATTCTTTGGACTTACCCATGTCCACAGGACTTTAGCTCTTCTCTGAAAAAGAAGTTTGAGGCATTTGGGGATTTTTATCCATTGTAAAGGGAGGAGGACCAGTCAGGAAAACCTTTTGCAAAAGTCAGTGAAAATCACGTGCCAGGTTCAAAATAATGATTAATTTCACCGAGTCACATTAGGCATGTAATGTACATGTACGTGTGGGCAGATGGTGGGTGTGGGTGCATGTGTGAAGTGCTGGATTTCTTGAGGCCGGCCTTGAGGCTGATTTTTGTAGGCCTTGGCCTCGCTTTGTAATGACGCAGCCCGAGTCTTGGCCTTGACACCATCTGAACTCAAAGAATTTGTCAAGGTCAATTCTGCCACCATTTTGAATAAAATTTCCATAGGAACTTGCCTTTACCCAAACATGAGTTTCGATATTTACATGTATCTAATGAAATTTTATAAAGCTGGTTCATTTCTTGTTGTTTCAGTCATAATCCCTCAGCAACGTAATTTGCAGGAATACAACTGCACGCTTTCCTTTGACATGCTTGAAAATGAAATTGCTGTCATGTCGTGGATTCCCTCTTGATTTTTATCAAGCTGTATATTAAGCCGCAAACCTAACGAAAGCAAGCGGTAGCCTAGGTCTACTTACCAAAATACAGCAGGGACGCAGTCCAACCACCACCTGACTACAGGCAAATTCCAACAACATTTACATGTTAATCAGTAACCACACACAGTCATTCGTAGTACCACTACAAAAATTCGCGCCAGCAGGACAGTGGACCGTTTATCCCCTCCCATAGGCCCACTTCACCAGGCTTTTGGCACAGAACTTCTGTGTTTACATTTTAGTCTTAGTCCCAGACGTACATCATATTTGCTCATATGTTCTAAGGGCACGGCGAAGGTACCCGAAGATTGGTAACTACGGTATCCTCGACTTGGTTTTTTTTTTTTTTGTATGAATAAGATTCGACTTGTGTTGCATGCAGTAACCGCGTCATTTCCCCAAGGAAGTCACTTGTCATTTTCCCACAAATCAAGTCTAGTCACCAGTCAATTTTCTGAAGTTAAGTCCCAATTATTTTAAAAGTCTAATTCGGTTCCAAAAAGTAAATTATCTTGGCACTTGTACACTCATGACATCTTTTCTCTGATGAAATCTAACGTTTGACAAGTACATGTAGAGAAAAACTTAACTGCCTCATTTTGGCTGAAAATCATACTAGTGATGAAAAACTTTGCCGTAGAATGAATGATAAAAGTTGGTAATACCAACAACTTAAGTCCACTTTCTTAAAGCCAATTCAAATTCCCGGCCATTTCTCCCAAGACAAGTAAAATCAAAAAGGTTAAAGTCATTTTTAAGGTAAGTTCAGTTCCTAAGTAAGTAATCAAAAACCTCTGACTATATGTGTCAGCGATTTGAGTCTGAGGTGTCTCAAAGTGACTACAATCAATCAATAAATCTGATAAATAAATGACCTTTGAATGAAAATATCCGCGATCATACTGTTTGTGAAGGCAATTATCTGCATCTGTTTTGTTCCCAGGATCGAAACAAGCGGGTAGTTCTAGTTGTCTGTGTGAGTATTTTGCTCATTTTTTGAAAGAACAAAAATAAAATGAACGATCTTTGTTTCTTTCCATTGTTAAGGGAAAAACACACAGCAACGAGCAAGTATACCCTGATTCTTGAATAAAATCTGATAAAATCTAATCATTAACCTGTAACTTGCGATATTTACTTCATTTTATTCTTTAATTATTGATGAAGTCATGAGCAACGGGGTATTCACCTGCTAAAAATAGCTCCCAACTGCCGATTGTGCAATCCCGATCCCGCCTTGCACATCATTATGAAAGCGCGGGTCAATGCCGGGCACCAGTATATTATTGGTGGCGCCATTTCACGAATGCGGCTGGTTACGCGCTCTGTCTGCAACCTGCATTACGTGGAATGTTAATGCACCGTGTTTCCCCCGCATACGTAATTCAGCACTGCGTTTATTCACATCGAAATTCAGTAGGGTTGTGAGTGCTCCTTTTGCCTTAAGTCGGAAAATCTGAAGCGTACAGCTATCTTGAATTCAAAACAAAATGTCTAAGACTACGGACAGCATTTCATCAACCTGTGTGTTGTGCTTCGGCAGTATCAAATATTACGCCGTGGGGCCTTGCAACCACCATATCTGCTTGAAGTGCTCAACGCGAATGCGGGTGTTGTGTGAGCAGCGATATTGTGCCGTATGCCGAGCAGAAATGCCCGAGGTAATTATATACATGTGGACCGGCAATAAGCCTTGTTCCCGTGTAATGTGCACATGCTCAGAGCAGAAGATTTAACAGAGGGGAACAAATTCATTGACATGTGATCACTTTCCGATGCTGAAAGGGAAAATTACCATGATTTGGGAAAAACTCCACTTGGGCTACTCAAGCCACACCATGCACACAGCATGTGCGAACATCGTTCATTTATATCAACAACTAATGCAGAAATAGAAACTTGTTTTTCTGTGTGCCATGGGTGAGAGGTTGGCTTGTTTTGAATTAATTCTGTCAGGGTGTTATTTAGCCCCACTAGTGTGGCACAGATCACTCCCGATTTATCCTTAGCCACACTTCCGTCTACGCAATGTCGTGTCGGCGTATCGAACATTCCGGCGCACCCACTTATCATAGTGGGCGCAACTTCTTTTGCACACGAACATGATTCTTGATTTTTCTGCTTTCTAAAAACCATTTATTGAATGATTTCACTCACGTTATTTAGGTATTTTCCAGTCTTTTTGCCTTTATCCATTCAATCTAACGGGCTCACAATCTTTGAAATAAGGTCATTGAGCATACGTCACTTGACCCCCCCTCATCTTCTCGACGGCTGTTCCATGTAAAGACATATGTAATATACTGACTGAGCGATAAGATACTACATCATTACATGTACCAATGGGCTCTACCAAAACTTTGGCAGCAGTTTAGTTATCTTGACACGAAATTGCGTAGACGGATGTGTGGCTAAGGATATATCCGGAGTGATCCGCGCCACGTTAGTGGGGCTAGGTGTTATTGTGCTCTGTTCTGTTTTATCGTCATTAACCCTCCTATGCTTTGATGTATTCTTGACACAGTTGTCATATCAGCCAAACTCAGTCAAATTTCCCATATGTGTCTGTGTACTGAAGGAAATCAATTGGAAGGCATTTTTGACTGTTTTTGACGGTTAAAACACTAGGAGGGTTAAAAAAATGACTCCAAGTTGCAATTTACTACTAGGCTTTACGGTCAACCCGGTCCATAACCAACTCGGTCCGAGTCAACTTTGGCCCAAGTCAACTCGGTCCCAAGTCAAGTCGGTCCCAAATCAACTCGGTCCCATTTAGGAGTTGCTAAGAAGGCTACTTTTCAAGCACGGCGTAGATGGACTAGAGTTTCAAGCTTAGTCATGTTAGTGTAGATTGAAAAATATATGCCTCTTAGAATATTTTTGCTGTCGATTGCGTGTTGTATTTGCTGGCATGCTGTGTGCTTTGTATGGAGCTGTTGCCAGATCAGGCCTATAAATGAGTGGCGCTCGACAGCCTCAGCTCCGCTGATGATGTACCCACGCAACATGGACTCTTTTCACACTTTCACAAAAATAAGAAAATAAATTGAAACTGTCGGCTGACAGAAAGGGTTATCTTAAAATGTTGATCACGTGTAATGCAGTTGTTGGTTTTTATATTCATTATATATAATTTTTGTTCTTCACTTTTATCATGTTTAGTAATCAGTGAACCCTGGGGCGAATGAGACGCTACATCGTTTGAAAGGGAAACTTAATTTCTTCCATCTGGTACCGTGAAAAGCGAAGACAGAAGTCTTTTCCTTCCTCCTTGATTCTTTCAAAATGCAAACAGAAATCTTTTTTCGACCCTGAGCTGAAGTCCAACCACATTGCGGACGTTGCCGACGTCATCGACCATCATGTACTGCCCAATGAAATAATTAACGATCTCCGACGTTGACTTGCAACCGATGTAACTTGGACCGAGTTGACTTGGGACTGAGTTGGTTACGGACCAAGTTGACCGGTACCCTTTACTAGTCGGGCAGATAGTTAGATCGCACTGGAAAATGGCTTAGACAAGAAAGAACTTATCCAAGACTTGTTTCATTTGCTGTTGCTACATGTAGTAAGCGCGGAGTTGTATTCAAATAATCATGAAATCCCTGACAACTTCTGTGTTCAGGTAATTGCCACTGCTAAGCTGCACCCCTACAACAGCATCAGCTTCCGCAAGGTCCTCACAGACCGCAAGGCCGGCATTGCGTTTGCCACGAACAAGATCAGGGAGGACTTCCGGCGCCTACTGTCGGAAGTCTGCACTCTATGCCCGAGCCGTCCCCCGGAGAAGAGCTTCAAGGATCTGCAGGACCACCTCCGGAAGGAACACGAACTGTTCTACTGCGATTTATGCATCAAGCACCTGAAGGTAAGTCCCGTCGCTGCCTTAACCCCTAACCTTCCTCCAGATCATCTGGGTGGTTTGGGGGGATTTGGGAGGATTGAGGAAGGTAGAGCCCAGTCATTGGTCGCAGTGCCAGGGGATTGGTGATTCTTGAATGTTTAAATGTAAAGAATTGCCATTGGTTCCCAAACATTTTTTCCATTTCTGAAGTGCCATTTCCTGGAACAATATTCAATAGCGCTGTACATATCAAAATAGCAAAAATAATATGATTACACAATAACAATTATATAAAAACTACAATTAAAACCACATGTTCCAGGAAATGGCGCTTAAGAAATGAAATAAATGTTTGGGAATCAATGGCAATTCTTTACATTTAAACATTTCAAGAATCACCAATCACCTAGCACTGCGACCAATGACTGGGCTCTACCTGACACAGTAGATTGCCAGCACAAAATGACCCAGGGTCTTTTGTGCAGTCCTCTTCACTGCATTTGGTTTACTGCACAATTATGCACATAAAACAGTGAAGCACAGTTGTTGGGCAGCACAAAAGTGCAATCTGATATTCCTGTGAGGGACAGTTGGTGCAGTGCACAACACAACACAGCCGTGCTTCCTTGAGGTGTTCACCAAATGACCCAAAGAGTGACTTCAGCATAGGAGGGTTAAAAAGGTACGTCTCGATTTTACCCTTGAGCTCGTGTTCATTCCTAATATCTTTCAACTGATTTGGCTAAGAATTCCACAACGTCGGACCAGCAATAGCAAATGCCCTGTTGTTAAGATTATTATACGATTGAGGAACCTGAAGACTCAATGTATCCTGACTGCGCAAGTCATAAGCCGAGTGGCAGATTTTGGAAGATTCAGGAAATTGTCCTGCAAGAATGTCAAGGAAGTAATCCTACCTGCACAAGACTCTCCAAGACACTTCAATATTTCCTTAAATTTAATTGGCTTAATTTTTGGACTTTTGCCCTGCCCGTCGTGTATGTGACACGGCATGCTCAGTGTATGCCTCCGAAGGGTTGTGAAAAACCACAAACATATTCGGTTGGGACTCGAACCCACGACCTCCTGCTTACTAGTGCAGACGTCTTAACCGCTTGACCACCAAGCTTGCCGGTGTCGGCTTGCTGGTTCGAATCAGATGTAGCAGCAGGTACCGCAAACAACTGTTTTAAAGATTGACACCGGGGAGACGTAAATTAATTTTTGATTTTTGCACTGTCCGACATCGGGCAGGGAAAAAAATCCCGAATTAATGTACGTCACCCTGGCGCAAGTCCATTCTTAAAATAGTTTAATCGTCTTCACGCCTTCAAATTTAAAGGTAATGTTTTTTGCTGCATTTGCACAGGTGTTTTCCTCTGAGCGCAAGGCCTACTCCCGCAAGGACCTAGCCTTGCATCGACGCAAAGGTGACATCAAGGACACATCATATCGGGGCCACCCGCTGTGCGAGTTCTGCGACGAGAGATATTTTGACAATGACGAGTTGCTCAGGCATCTCCGGCAGGAACATTACTACTGTCACTTCTGTGAGACGGACGGAGTCAGTAATCAGTATTACAAGTAAGATCCCCATAAATTCTATTTCAAGACTTCCCAGGACATTGCTGCATAAGCATGTTCTTTACCCAGAGCTGAAAAGTCCTCAGACTTGTTTTTGAAAAGTGCAGCTGTGTTGAGAGGCCTCTGGAAATGAGGAACTTGATTGATAATTGAGAGACGGGTCTTAAGAGAACCTCTCTGTCTCCCCAACACAGGACTCTGTCATCTTGTCTTGCCTGTTTCTCCTTGTCCAAGTCTGTAGGAGTCCTCATAGGTCATTATGAGTGAAGTAATCATGGGTCCTCACAAGTCCTCATAGATCCCCACCAGGGGCCAATTTATAGAGCTGCTTAAGCACAAAATTTGCTCAAGCGTGAAAATACCTTGCTTGCCAGATTGGGTTACCAGCCAAAACTCCATGTGATGTACATTGTTTTGTAATGGTTTTCACTTGTCGTCTGGTTAGCAGGACAATCATGTAGATTTTGAGCTGGTAACCTTTTTTAAGCAAGGAATTTTTGCACTTTTGTGCTTAAGCAGCTCTATGAAATTGGCCCCAGTCCTTGTATCTCTTGTGAGGACCAGTGTGTGTTTTTTCTCTGGCATAGAGGTCAGGCTGGTGTGTAACAAGTCTCAACCTGGCTCTCTCTGTACTGACATGTGAAGACTGTGCAACCTACTGAGGTGGAAAAACCTGCATGCAGTGTGATATGGGGCATCGGCGAGATTTTATCAAGGGGAGGGGAGAATTACTTTCGGGGGAGGGGGGGACAAAGCACTCGCCAGCTAAGAACTGATATGCAGTTAATAGTGAGAGGAGGTCAGTTCTGAGGTTTTTGTCAAGCAAAGTGGTGATTTATATCCCCTGTAATCTCTCCCTTTTTTCATGTTGTTCATTGCCTCCGCTACTTTTTTTTACTTTTCAGGTTGGTTCAATGGGGGCAGGTGCCCTTCCTTGCCCTTCCCTCTCGCGACACCCGTGAGGGTCATTCTATAAACTTTTGGGTCCATTTTTGTGTGTGTCCCTGTCACATCTGACAAAGACCTCTGCAAGTGTGGAACACTGTACCAGTATTTAATTTCTTGCCAAACAAATGGATGCAGCTTAAAGCCAATTTCAATATTTCTGTGTCAACTGCCACTGGTTGGGATTAACAGGGACACCAAATATGTCATCCTTGTGGACTCCCCAAATTTATGGAGTGACCCATGAGTGTGTGGCCCAAAGTTGTTAGCTGTGTAAAAAGGTTCCAAGTCTGGTTCACACATTAGCCCAAGGTTCACCTGGAGTCTTTTTTTCTCCGTCGTTGCCAGTGATTACGGGAACCTGAAGGAGCATTTCAGCGAGGAGCATTACCTGTGTGAGGAGGACAGCTGCGCCCAGGAGCAGTTCACCCACGCCTTTCGCTCCAGCATTGACCTGAAGGCGCACCGGGCCACCGTCCACAGCGGCCAGATGTCCCGGGCTCAGGCCCGCCAGATGAGACAACTGGACGTGGAGATCAACCTCCCGCCGAGATCGTCTGAACGAGGTAAGCAAGTCTAAAAGGAACAAGAAACGGTGATGTAGAGCAGGCCCTTGAACTAGTAATCGAAGCGATTCGCATCATGCTTCACCAAGAAGCTATATATGAAAATATATCTGGAAATTGTAATCGTACCGAACAACCTTAGATATTACTCACTTTTCTGGCTTCAACAGTTAAAAAAATTGCATAAAACTATGGAAATTGCATATATCTATGGGCAATGAATTTGGCCCCCCTTAAAAGAAAAAGCGATAATTTAACAATTTATAGCCAATTCAAATTATGACTTCTTGAAGACGTTACAATGTTTTAAAAAAACACACGAAAAATTCATCCCTGTTCATGCGTATGCTAAGTTGAACGCAAGTGGACCTGACCATTCTGTAGACATCAGTGTTGTATCCGAGACCTTGATGTCTGAGACCAAGACCAAGGCATACGAGACCAAGACCGAGACTTACCCCTTCAAGACCAAGACCACGACTTTGAGACCGAGATTTTTGCAGGTCGAGACCGAGACCACGACATCTGAGACCGAGACCAACCATAAACCAATGTTTAGTTTTTACCAAAAGGTAAATAGGGACAAACATATGGCAGTACAATTAAGTACAAAAGAAATAAAGTGAAAATATTAGCTTAAAATCACACACACAAATAGGTCAAATATTTGTCAAAGAATGTCTCAGTTCTTTTATCAGTAATACTGCTCTACTTTTACCCTGGTCTGGTCATTTTCAACCCAAGAGACCCAAATGATATAATGTGAACATTAAAACAAATATCCTTAGACTTTTTTTTTTGTAATCAAAATACTGAAAAACAAATATCCAAAAAAGATGTACCGTAACGAAACTACTAAAACAACACATACCACATACAGTACAAGACGGAATGAAAGCACTTTCACACGTGCACACAATTCATAGCGTGCGCACAAACACAGACTGCTTCCTGTCCCGGCCCTACGATCAGCAGGAGACTACGTAGGGAACGGGAACCAGTCTAGTGTGCGAATTCCTCTACTCACAACCTCATCTCCATGGGGTCAAGCATCATGGCTACTCTGGATTGGAAATAAAGTAACAACTTGGGACAAGGTTGCCTCATGCTGCATTGACCGGCGCTTTTGAGACCGAGACCGGCCCTCCCAAGACCGAGACTTTGACGGGGGGAGACCGAGACTGCAAAAAAAGGTCTCGAGGCTGAGACCAGGTCTTGAGATGTACAACACTGGTAGATATTGGCTTTTGAAAACTGCATCTTTTGGGTGACGTTATAGGATATGTGATGACGTCATCATGAAATCACTCTAATTTTTCATTTGTAGCACCTCCCTTTCTAAGTACCCGGAAGGTTTCAACTCAACGTGCTGTTATATAGCACTTTTTTCAGAGCTGTTTAAAGATATCAAAGTGATTCACGGTTGTTTACCCCTGGTCATTGGACTTTGAGATCTGTTCTGTTCCCTAGGTTACTCATTCACACCCCGAGGTAGAGAGGTCACTGCAGTAAAGCAGCTTACCTATGGACAAAAACGCCTTGATACCCATGGTGTTCAAACTAACATACCTACATATTATTTTTAACATTAGAACTACTTGTTCATGGTACGGTCATGACGTCCAGACAGGATGAACATATTCCTTTTGCAAGGAGACCCAAGCTTTTGGAAGGGCTTAATCTCCTCTACAATTCTCAGTGTGTGAATAGCGATTGTGTTGACGAGGCTCCTAAGTGCCAGTGCGTTACTGCTCCCAAACAACACGGAAGACCAGATGGGAGCACAGCAGGGCTGTATAGACAGTGTGATGACCGTGAAGTTGAAAATGTGGCCTATGTGAGGTAAATACTTGTTGGTGCCCTGTATTAAGAATCACCCCCGCTTAATTCATTCACATCTGGCATTTGTCTGCTTTTGCATCAGGTGGTTTTGGAGGTGGCCCCAGCTTTGCAAAGGGACGAGACAGACATAACTATGGAAACAGGTAAGGGTATTAAATTAAAAGATGTCGTGAGGACAAACTCTTAAGTGTTTCTGTAAGAATAGCAAAAGAGAAATGTCAGATGGTGCTAAAATATAATGCTAAACAGAAATATAGTGGAACGCCGCTATAACGAACACGACGGGGTCCACGCTTAATGTTCGGTACAGCGGTCGTTTGGTTTAGCGAAATTAACTGCCGAACGTTTCGTTGCCATGTTGAATAGCGCCCTCTCTTGTCTAACTGAAGTGCACCCTCTTGTGATACTATGATTTGCTGTTTTCATGATGTTTTGCTGTTGCTTTCAGGTTTTTGGAAATGTATCCGTTAATTATTTTTGTTTGTTATTAAATCTTGAATTGCAAAATTGATATTTAGTTTATCCTAAAAATCGGGAATCTACCTGTACCACTCGGGATCGATCTCTGATGCATGCCGTGGCGAATCTCAGTTGATTTGCAATGGTATAATGTTCGGTAGGTTTTGTGCACAAAATAGTTGGAGCCAAGGACGATGTTCGGTACGAGCGAATGCTCGGTATAGCGGTGTTCGGTATAGCGACGTTCCACTGTAGAAACGAAGATGTTTCATGTTTGTTTTTTGAACATAACCCTAGAGAGTGTTCTGGCTACAATGCTGTAAGCAGCAGATTATAAAGTCGCAGTAGTGAGAACCCTGCTCAGTGTTACAAGATCTTACAGGTCAGCTATCCCCGAGGCCAAACGGCCAAGTCCCCACCTGTCAAACCACCACAGGAGCCAACAAGGGCATTCCTTGATAGATCTATGAGCCCTGAGCCAGACCAAGAGAGGACACAATGTTCCTAACAATGCAAGCTCCTTTGTTTGGAACTGCACTTCAGTGGTTGACAAACGATCATGAAATGCATGTGTTACAGTCACATGGCTACCACTAACATGGCGCTTCTAAACTGATGAGGGGGTGCTTCTCATCAAGACGGATGCTCTAATGATGGCACACTTTATTGCAGTGTGTTTTTTCCTATAGCATCGAGGTGGGACATGATTCGTCACTGTCCCAAATGAAAGCACACTTGTAAAAAAAGAATGACTTCATTTTGTTTCAGGTTTATTTGATTAGTTCTAGAAGCCTCACACTGTACCCTAATTGGCCTTGTTGTGTCTGGTGGGATGAGGGTTACAGACCCCAATAAAGAACCTTGCCCAGTCGTCCCAGTCATTCGGGTTGGTTTTTGTCAGAAACATTTGTGCAACAAAAACCTTGTTTTTATTGTTCCTTGAAAGCAGCATTTGACCTTTACGTATCGCTAGAACTTGTGTGGGAGTTTTCTCAAGGGAAAAATGCTTAGCGCAAAAACCACAAAGGTTGAAAAATATGTAGCCGTATATTTGTGACAAACAACATCTGTATTTTTTGGAAATTTCCTTTTGAAGAAAGGGGGAACATTTAGAGTCTTTTATATTATTTAATTATATTATTTTTTTAACACATAAAACAATGGTCTGAGAATATCCTGATCTCACTTCAACCATTGCGCATAATAATCCATATGGCATGTCCGAAGCATTCGTATCGCATGCGGACACCATATTGACATTTGACTGAGATTGCTCTTCGATGAAGCAGTGTCTCAATGTCTCTTCTTTTTTGCTCACAGGGAGGAAGACTTCTCCCCAGCCATCCATGCATCCCTTGAGACAAGCAGACGGGAGATGTTGGAGCAACACAAGGCAAGGAGGCAGGAGCAGTTGGAGCGATACGAGGCGAGGAGGCAGGAGTGGTCAGAGCGACACGAGGCGAGGAGGCAGGAGCGGTTGGAGCGACACGAGGCGAGGAGGCAGGAGTGGTCAGAGCGACACGAGGCGAGGAGGCAGGAGTGGTCAGAGCGACACGAGGCGAGGAGGCAGGAGCAGGAGGACCAAGATGCACGGAGGAACTTGGAGAGACTGCAGCCCAAGAAGAAATCAGCAGCCAGCACCCAGCAAGAAACTCCTGAGGAGGTTGCCCAGGGAAAGCCACGAAACGAACCTGAAGAGGAGGCGAGCAGAGAGGCAGTTGCTATAGAGACAGCAGACAAGGAAGCAGGGACTGAGGAGAAGACGATGCCCAAGAAAGGAGGGCGGACCTCTCCCCGGTCAGATGGAGAATCAAAGACAGAGATAAAGGAAGAAACGCAGAAGTCTTCAACAAACCCAGAGGGTTCAGAGGTTGAGAGTGCTTCGCAAAAGTTGGATGCCATTTTGCCAGATCAGAGTGAGATCATGAAAGAACCGGGCAAGAAAAAGAAGAAAAAGAAAAGCAAGACCTCGGCAGAGAGAACTGACAATAGCAGTGAGAACGAGACTTCAGCGAACACTCCAAAGCCTGCAGAGAACAAACCATGTGAGACTTCTCAGTTGAAAGATGTGAAGAGTGAAGTACAAGGTACCGAAGCTGACTTGACTGTGAAATCTGCAAAATTTCCATGGACATCTTTGAAAGAAAAAGTCGAGGACTTCCCAGCTTTGGTGAAATCCACTCCAGTAAGTGCTGTTAACACCAGCGCAGCCAGTGGCTTCGGTTTCTACTCGGCCCTGCAAAAAAGGGACACCCAACCGAAACCTCAGACACAGCCAGTAGCGATGCCGGAGCAGCGTTCATTCAAGAACGAAGAGGAGGACTTTCCAACCCTGAGCTCGATTGCAGGAATTCTGGGCGTGGAGCCCACACCCAACAGGACCAGGCCCAGCACCCAATCCAACAATGCATCTGCGTGGACCACGCCTAGGGAGAAATCAGCTGCCCCGCCCACTGAAACCAAGCCCATCGCCAAGTCCAAAAAGAAAGGGAAGAAAGCCGGCAAAGAGAATCAGGACGTCACCCGTGAGAAGCCAAAGTCTCAAGCTCCCCCAGGTTTTGATGGGGCACGGAAGGATGCCCCGTCGCAAGGAGAGAAGTCTGTGCCTCCTCAACAATCCCCCCCTGGGCTGCCCCCAGGACTTGAGGTCAGTGCGGCCCCCACCTCACTGGCTGTGCCTCCTTCGACAGCACCACCACCACCAGCATCAAGCACACACCCCATCGGCCCACCACCTGGCTTCGGGGTAAGCTTTTCAATGATGAGCAGTAACCCGCCGCCCGGGTTCGTAGGGTTTGTACGGCCCTCTGACTTTCAAGAACGCAACCTGATGCTAGCCACTAAGATCCAAACTCTCCTTGGCAACCAGGATATCAAGTTTGACATGTTTAGGTCCATCTCCAGGAAGTTCCGTGAGGGCTCTTTATCCGCTGTAGAATATTACCACGAATGCCAGAACCTTCTCGGCCGAAATCTCCCACTGATCTTCAACGAGCTGGTGAGCCTGCTGCCCGATTTAGTCAAACAGCAGGAGCTCGTCACCGCCCAGAACGATGCCCGACTCCAGGAGAGGCACCGAGACAAAGATGCCCCCGTTGGCGGCAGAACCGATTCTGGGAGAGCAAAGGGCAAAGGTCGAGGGTCGGGAGTGTGGAAGACATCAGCCGGCACCCCCAGCTCTTGCCCCCAGTGTGGACAGTATGTCCTGCGATCAGAACTTGAAGCACACCTCAACACGCATCAGGATTTCCCGTCACTGTCTACGAATGCCCTTGGCAAGCAACAGCCCATACCCGCCGCAGCTCCAACATGGCCACGCTTGAAGTAAAGTGATCACCTTGCTTGTCTAACCCAAGTATCCTGGGATTTAGTTCTGATCTAGAACGTCTGATTCTCTCACAGAAGTCAAAAAAGGGAAACTTCTCTGAGAAATTTACAAATGATCTGTGCCTGTAATTAGCCACAAACTACGAGTCATCCAAATGGGATTGTTTAGGTGCAGTTTTTCACCAACCAAATACATCAGCATGCTTTCTGATGCGTCATATGCTGTGAAAAAGCTAGTTAAAGTACATTCGTTTCCAGAGTTGCCCAATCCCAGAACACACGGTTTAGTTGGCCCATTGTTTGATTTCCAGCTCCTGCCCAGAATTGACTCTCTGAGGTTTACTGTCGAATCCAAGTGAAGGTTTTCCTGAACCATAAGTTTTCTTACACAATTCTTGTATGCCTCTTCCACATTTGAAACTGTTTGCCATTTCTGTGGGATTAAATGTATTGAAAAGTACGCTTTTTGAAAACAAATCAGAGAGAGCTGTGGGTACTGTTGTTGTGCTGTGGTCCAGGGAAGACATAGTTCAGTGTCCAGGTTTTCCTTAGTCAAATTCTGATCCCAGAATCCACTTCCTTAAATCAATTCTGAGAAAGGGCAGACGGTTGTTTGCTTATTTCTGTTTACTTTGTTACTTACACAACGACTCACCAATGAAGAGAAGAAGTAGGACAGCAAAGTTTTAGGAAAAAAATGTCAAAGTTTTGATCACAAACCAATGTAGCTTTAAGGTTTTCTTCCTGGAATGACATTACAGTTTTGCTCATGAATATGGAAATGCTCATCAGCATAAAAATTGAACGCACAAGACACTGTTTGAAGTAGTGAAACAAAATTGGAACTAAAGTCAACCGGAACAAACAAGTACATTTTGAAATTTTTCTTTAAAATAAAAATAACATTGGAACTACAGTTGAAGGGTCTCAACTTGAGACTAAATTGATAATTTCTCACACTGAAGCCCTTAAATGTAAATGAAGCAAAGATTTCGACAAACCACCATGAGGCTCACAGTCATTATATTTAACTTGTGCACAAAGGCCTTTAGCAGATACGTTCTTAACCCAGTGTCACCTTGTAGGCTGACTAAAACTGCATCGTGAAATCTTTCAGCGCTCCTTTAGCATTGTGCATATTGTCATGCAGATGCTCATCACTTTTAAAGAGGTATAATTTGGCTCACCAATGATTAATTAGATAACTGTAAAGCAGCAGTGCCATTGTAACAAAGACATGCACCCAGTCTATTAACTTCCTGTACATGTGCCAGCATTTTGCCCACAAATGTTTTGAAAATCTTTGCCTCTTAAATTATCTGCCCGTTGTGCATAATTATAAACTAAGCAAAACTCTGCACTCCAACAAGTTTTACTTGATACTTGTATTGCCAAAGCAAAGTACAGTAGGTACATTTATATCGATCGGGTTCATGGCATACACACTTCATGTGAATGCAGTGCAGTGAAGGTTTTAAGTTTATTTGCTAAACCCTAAACTTTAATGGCAATGAGGTTAAGTGGAATGGGGGTCCATTTTTTTCTCTCGTCCATAAAAGAAATCCCCATAGAAAGGTGGTAATGTTATTTCAAAATTTTCATTTGCTTAAAAAGAAAAAAACAAACAAACAGAAAAATTGCCAATGCATTGCCGGAGGTGGGACATCTCTGTGAGGTGCACATGCTTTTGGCCAGTCAGAACACCCTTTTAGTTGAAGAAGGTTGCACACTTCAACTTTTCCATGGGCGCGACAGGCAACGGTAGCTTCTATTTAGGGTTCTGAAGTTAAGAGTTTCAAAGTTTCCTGATTTCTCTACAAAGTGAAATCAAATTCCTTTGTCTCTTAAGTGTTATTAGTGGTGGTTTTTTTTTTTTTACAAAATTTAAGTATTTCCCAGTTAGCAAAATATATATGTCACTGTATGTAGAATTCATATTTTAAAAAATTAAGGCAAAAACGTAAAGCAGATTTGTGAAAGGTTAGGCTGCAGGTCACAATTTTTTTTTGGGGGGGAGGTGGTCAAAAATATTACATTTGTGTAGGTATGGCCAAGGAATTCATTTCCATTGTTAATTTAGACTGCCTTTAATCAGCAACCAAGGACATATTCTGTAGGATGACCAGTAGACTCCTTTTTAAAATAAATTTTGTTAAAACACGAGGGGAAAAATGTTAAGAAATAGGATTCAAGCCTCGTAACACGTTGACTGCTGTGCATATAGCAAAGGGGTGTTCCCGTTTGCCAAGCGCTGTACGCATGTGCACATATTTAATAGGTACCTTTCACATATCTGTTTGAACACAAGCATTGTATGCATGTCCTCCACACTGCCAGCAATGTATTTGTTGTGTTCGTGGGTGATGCCAGCGTATTCAATTTACATTACACAAGCCTTTCACTTCCTACGAGTGTACTCACAGTGGCAGAATTTTGTACACCTGTTACTATGAGTATACTCGTAGCCGGCAGTCAACGTGTGAACTTCAAGAATGCTGTAAAATTGTTGTAAGTTACTTATGTTCTAGGCTGGTCTTAAATGTCCGGTTGAGACTATCGGTGGATCAGAACAGAGGCTGATAGTACCCAAGTCAAAGGCAAGGGACACTATCGGTGCTTAAGACTGGCCAAGGACATATTTAGTCCCCTTTGTGAGTACCTTCTGTGTTATAAGGGGGCCAAGTGGTTAGGTACTGCGGCCTCCAATCATAGGGTTGGAGGTTCAAATCCAGCTGGTGGCAGTATGCCGTGGCCCTTGGCAAGCCACTTCACTCCCTGGTTGCCTCTCTAGCTCTCCATTTAGGAGTATAAGTGGGTACCAGCATTAGGGAGGGAAGCAACCTGCGATGGACTGGCATCCCATCCAGCGGGGGAATAGAAATATTCTCGGTCGTTTCATGCCAAGGAAACCGGAGATAAACAGTGGCCTGATCAGCCAAATGACCCAGATCAGACTTGCCTCTATGTCATAAAATCAAACAAGGTTTTAAAAAATAAATTCCCAACAATTTTGTTCATGAGTTTTACTAATTTTTTTAAAACACCCCTCTTTCCATGTTATGGTATGCTCCTCTAGTGATCCTTATATGGAGATTGACCACTTGTAGGAATGGCTGAAGCGTCCCCTTAGTTACATGTATTTATGAGTAAAAACAAGTGCAGATAACATAGAAGTACATAGGTATGTGTACTTGTATTTTGAAAATCAGAACAACTGGCAGGCAAGTTTTACCATTTTTACCTCTTTCAGTCGATCTTTTTTGAGCCATGTTTCTCTGAACCTTTTTCATTTGAAGATCAATGTCAACACCATCTTGGTTAGAGGCTTTGTGTTGGTTTGTTCCATTGTGACATTTGACACCTCTTCGTTGTCTTGCTATTTATTGTACTCCGTGGGTGAAGTTCCGGATTTTAGTTCAAAAGATGGTGTTTATTCATAATTATTACATAACATGTAAAATACTTCAATATTTAGCCCATGTAAAAGAATCAAAATAAAGCCATATTTGAACAGTTTGCTTTAAAACAACACAGAGAGAGAACAAGGGCTTTAAGGGAGTCTTTTCTTTTGTCTTAGGTGACTTTCTTTTTTTTTGGCCAATTTATCTCAGGTATCTTACCTTTTACCATAGGCTATAACTCCTTGTTGCTTTCAATGCTCGCCTGATTTTACATCGTGACGATTTTATTCTCCATTGTCCGTGAAAATTACAGGCATAGTCCATTTCTTATTCAGCAGGGCCATATTTTAGAACCTGCTATGGTTTCCCCTTTACAAAATGTGCTTTTGTTGAGACGAACAATTCTTTCTTTGAGAATTGGGTTGGAACTTGAAGGGGGGATTTGTCATGTGAGATATGTCGGATAAACTTCAAACTATTATCAACCCAAATTGCAGAAGTTGATATTGAATTTAATTGAATTTACCCGAAAGCTTCCAACCCTCTATCCGTTCGATTTTTTGGTTTCCGGAAACTAACCATTTTGTGCAAAGTATCAGTTTTGAAAAGTTAGTAATGAAATCTCATCTGACATGTCTAGTGACTTCTGTCTCGACAGGCTCTTCTCCAATGGTCGTTTTTACGTTTATGCTTTGAGGCATACCTAGGTAGAAAATTTATTTCGTGTCTGTTTCAAAACGTCAAAAACACAAAGTTATCGACGTGCGTTGGGCCGTCGGTGTGGCAAGTGAACACTTGATAAGAAACTAAATGTGGCGGATAGGCACTCTCACAGTGTGTATCTGTGAACATACTGTCTTCACACGAATCCAAATTACCACATTTACTGGCCTCTGCTGTGTTTATAAACATTTTATTTTTAATAGGTGATGTAAACACTTTGTGGCACCGGCCTTAACTTCCCGCGCCCGATGATGAGGGCAAAGAATCTATTTTTAGAACTCACTGTGGAGCGGTATAAATACGTCATTACGCGCAGGTTGTTTGCATATCGCGCATGTACTGCACACGCGAAGTGAATCGGTCAGACAACAGAGGGCGCACTGTGACCCCATCACGCCCTGTACGCTGCCAACCATAAGATCAGTGGATCGATGCCCACTTGCATTTCCGCGTTGCGAAAAACCGAGAAAAATCCCATTTTAAGCCCTGGTGGTAGCAGTAATTCTCGTGCCCGACCAACTCTGGGAGGTTCGCCATGCAGGCCATCAAGTGTGTTGTGGTTGGAGATGGGTAAGTTGAAGTGAGGAAATTGAGAAAGTGGTGCCGGCATGCGTGATCAGTTCAGCAGTTGAGTTAGACCTGTTCAAGCCAAGCAATGTTTCACCCGCACTGTGTGAGAATTTCCTGCATTTGTTACGCCCCAACTAGGGGGATTGTAAATTTGGAGACCCTTTTCCTATAATAGAAGGGAGAGCTACATTTTAACTTTTGAATTCACCTGTAGATGACTGTGACATCATGCTCAATAACACACATTGACAGTGTAGGGTTGATGTAAAAAAAAAGGGAAAGAGTTCCGTATGGGGCAGCACGGACATCTGGGAGTTTCACAAAATCGTGGGGTAGAAGCAACCACACTGTACCAATGAAAACAACAGCAACAAGTGCACGTGTACGTACTGATCAAAGAAAAGATAGTTTAACCAGACCCTCAGACTGGCTGGTGCGTGCGTATGTCGCCATAGTCGCTGTTTTCACTGGCGCAGTACCTGCCAATTGGCAAGAATCCCGAATGTCCATGCTGCCCCATATGTATGCCACTTTACACCCTGTGTAGGAATCAGGGTGTAAAGGCCAGGCCATGGGACTCCACATTACCCAGGCTGATGTAATGTTGTGCCAACTTAGAATTTTGGCAGCATGAGTTACAAGTACCAACATCATATGCTGTGTGGCACACATTGACATTGGATCCTATAGATGGGCTGCCCCAACTCATCATGATGATTCCAGAGTCATATAAACCATGACCTGGAAGTTGTCAAAATACAGCTTAAACAATTTCACCTGTTTACCTCATGTAAACTTCATCACCAGCTGAGTATGTTGAATGAACTAATATAGGATTATACAATGTGAGAATGTACATACATGTACATACATTTGTTTTATTTAGTGACAAGTCTGTTGCAGCATAGAACTCTTCCCAGATGGGGACATGAAGTTTCAGATTTTGTCCAGGATTGACCGATGGCACAGTGC